GGGGGTAAATTAAAAAATTAAAAAGAAGCACATCGAAAAAATAGCAGTCGTTTAGTACGGTGGAAAAAAAAACAAGACTGAAGAAGTAGGACCTACCAGTCAATGGCGCTCTCCAACAAACTAGGAAAAACATCAGTCTCCTTTGGCATTTGAATGCTACATTTCTTTGAATACACTGCGTACCGTTGTTGCTGCCGGAGCTTCAAATTATATCCGCTCTTAACTATAATGCTTCCAAGGGCCAGGAACCCCCTCCCAAAAAAAAAACAAACAAAAAAACCACAAAAAACAAAAAACAACAACCCAAAACCCCCCCCCCCAAAAAAACAACAACATCAACTATTAATACAAGCAATCATATTTTAGAAACGCCCACCCAAGAGATAAGAACCAAAGTAACTCTGACAAGCAGAAAGATGTATCTGACAATAGTAGAACACCTCTCAACAAGCGGCACCTCTACGCTAAATGTGGTTGGAGTCAAGTAGTAGGTAAAAGTAACAACAAGATCCTGTAGCTTGGATTGTTGTCTCCTAGCGTAACATATAGATCTAGTACTTAAATTAGTCCCGTGATTATCTCACGTCCATGTAACGACAATAGGTCAACCTAGAAAACATTGGGAGGATCGTCACATGGTAACAAACAGAGCAACGTACAGTTGAAAATTGTCTAAGACAGTCATCTTTTGTTGACGTGTTTTAGTTTTAGTAGAGGTTTTATGGCGCTCGCAACCGCAACTGCATACGGTCATATGACCGCCAGAAGATTGGGGGTGTTACAAGAGAGTAACAAACATGAAAAAGAAAAAGTGGAGATAAGGACGATAGATGTTTTATAGGAAAGAAGAAGCAAACCACACCAGAGCACCCGCCAACCACCCACTTGTTTGAAGAGAAGAGCGGCTGTCTTAGACAGTGTCATAATGCAACCAATACGCAGGCAGGAAATGGCAACTGGCTCATTTGTTCAGGTGATTGTTTTATACAGGTGGTCGTTAGAGCAGGTTCGAATGTGTGCTCAAAATGCGTCCCGTTCCCCCCTAGGCCTACCACTAGGGACAGCGAGTTCTTTGAATATATTATTATGATGTCGTGTTTTGGCGAAAAAGATGTATCGCCAGACATTTATACATCGCAATGTTTACTTCAGACATCTTGCAACAACCAAGTAGTACACTGAAAAAGATCGAGAACACGATTCTGATGCAAAAAATTGGTCCATGTAGCTATGCAAATGCAGCACTAATGCACACAATACATCTAACAGAAGACTTACTTGATTTCCCCATAAAAAAGTGAAAGTCCGCTAGGGATCATTTAGACAGTCATCTTCTAGACAATGCAAGTTCAAAAGCATTTAGGCGTAAAAAATATCAAGCCGTCCTTTACTCGCAAGCCCTCACCCCCCCCCCCCCCCTTTCCTCCCAGGGCAGTGCTGCTGACAGAAGTGTCTTTAAGCCATTCCCAAAAGGGGGGATATTAACAGGTTCTTAAGCACAGTAGAATTGTAAATGGTATGATTTATCAATGTCATGCTCAAACTGTGCCGGAACAACTAAGGGGGAACGGCTGTTTTTTCTTTCCTCATCCTTACTATCGTCCTTTTCCCCCTCCACTTCTTTTGCGTGTTTTTCACTTTCTTGTGAACGCCTTTTCCGAGGTGCCTTGATAGTCAAAGCAGACTTTGTGCTGTTGAAGCTAGAGAGGTGAGTAGAGTAAGCCTGATATCCCGTTTGGACTTCTCTGTTGACATCCACCCCTTGGTGCTCATAAAATGACCTTATTATTAATATTATTATTATGCTATTGCGAGCGCTCTAAAACCTTACTAAAAACTAAGCAAGCCCTGGATATGGGCGAAACATAATGACGTACCTCTTTCAGTGACTGGACACATCCTTGCAGACTTTGCGGACTACTTGTACACGAAGTTGAATCTGGAGAAACAACAATTAGAACAAAACATTAAAAACAAATTGAGAAGACGTCGTAAAAAAACCCCAAACTATTCAGACAAGCGGGGAACACACGCAATTGTAATTGTAGATGTTTTACGCCCCAATCGACACAATTTAAATAATTCCGGAGGAGGGCTGCTTCAACCCTGCCAGTCAGGACTAGCTCAGGCTAAAGGGGACAATACGTCCTAACAGACAGACGAAAACACTTTATTAAAAAGAAAAAACCCCCAACAAAACAAATAAACAACCCCCCCC